TCTCCCTGTCTGTAACTTTGCCTCTCAAATATAAAATTTAAAAAAAAAAAGTCTTCTTGCTATTTGAAAATGTAAAGAATAAATAAACTGTGTCACAGTCAATTCTTCTTTGAAACCCAAATATCACTGTAAACTTGAAAAAACATCGTCAGGGTTGGGTGTCTGGTGCAGCAGCTCACTCATCGCTGCTTGGGCTGCCGCGTTCCGTATCGGTACCTGGTTCAAGTCCCGCCCTGCTCCCAATTCCAGCTTCCTGCTCAGGTACACCCTGGGAGACAGCAGGCGGCAGCTCAGGCACTTAGTCCCTGCCACCCACGGGGGAGGCCCGGATGGAGTTTGTGGCCCAGCCCTGGCTGTTGTGGGCATTTGCGGACTAAAACAATGGAAAGAAGATCTCTCTCCACCTGTCTCTAACTCTGCCTTTCAAATAAAATGAACATAAACTTTTAAAAAACTTTTTCGAAAGACAATTAAGTTGGAATTTTGTTAGTAATTTTCTTTTTAACCAGAATCTCTTTGTCTTTTACGTATGAATGTGAGTTGCTCCTTTCTGAGTAGTAACCTGGTTTGTGGAAACCAGCCACGAGGCAGCTCTGCCTGTCAGGGACTTCCACAGCAAACGCTCACGGAGACCACGGAGACCACGGAGACCACGGAGTGCCCAGACTCCCCGGGCGCGCTCAGTCAGCACTTGATGGACAAATGCCCGGCCTCTCCAGCTGTGGGTGCTGTGCAGTTACACCCTGGTCCTACCCGCCCCAGAGCTGCTGCCCAAAGCTGGCTGGCCCAGGGCCACCAGACAGTCCCATCAACCTGAGGCAGCAGTGTCTGGAAAGCCTCCTCACCAACGGCAGCGCTGCCCAGTTACAGCGACTGGCCGCCTCCTCACCAACGCCAGCACTGCCCAGTTCCAGCGACTGGCCGCCTCCTCACCAACGCCAGCACTGCCCAGTTCCAGCGGCTGGCCGCCTCCTCACCAACGCCAGCACTGCCCAGCTACAGCGGCTGGCCGCCTCCTCACCAACGCCAGCGCTGCCCAGTTCCAGCGGCTGGCCGCCTCCTCACCAACGCCAGCACTGCCCAGTTACAGCGACTGGCCGCCTCCTCACCAACGGCAGCACTGCCCAGCTACAGCGACTGGCCGCCTCCTCACCAACGCCAGCACTGCCCAGCTACAGCGGCTGGCCGCCTCCTCACCAACGCCAGCACTGCCCAGTTCCAGCGACTGGCCGCCTCCTCACCAACGCCAGCACTGCCCAGTTCCAGCGGCTGGCCGCCTCCTCACCAACGCCAGCACTGCCCAGTTCCAGCGGCTGGCCGCCTCCTCACCAACGCCAGCACTGCCCAGCTACAGCGGCTGGCCGCCTCCTCACCAACGCCAGCACTGCCCAGCTACAGCGGCTGGCCGCCGTTCCATCTGAAGAGTTGCTGACACGCCCCCCCGTCCTTGGGACTCCGCCGGAAGAACTTTGTGCTCCAAGTGGGACTGAGAACGGTGCCGACGAGGGCTCTGTGAGGGTGCACACAGCTCCTGACTCTGTGAGCTCTAAGTAAAAGCAGATTCAGACACCAGGAAAACTGTGAGTGTGTGTCTAATCCGTCTTCAGCTCCCAGGGTTCACTTGGTAAAGGTACCTGCACCTGAATACTGGTATCCTGAAGGACTCGTCCCAGCCCACCCCCGATGTTTGCATTTCTACTCTGCTTGGTACACGGGCCACCAATGTGCGTAACTGAACCGCAAATGGAAGCATGCTTGCTACTTTAGTGAAATTAGAATTCAGTGAAGGCTATAAAAATATTAAACTTAATATTGTGCTACAGGAAGCGTAAGTATTTTTGATGGGCCCATAACTTTACCACTTCACCTGCCGTATCGGCTGGCAAACGTGGTTTGGCATATTAATGGAAAACCCCCTCATTATTAAACTCAGTATTAAAAAAAATTTCACAACCACTAATGGCTCACCACAAAGACACTGTCAGAAATTATCTGCCTTCAAAATATCCCCTCCATACAGTTCGAAAAATAGATTTAATTTTGCAAAGCTAGGACAAACAGGGAGACCCCCACTGCCACAAACAATTCATTAATTCGAAGTTCTATTTTCCTCGCATCTGAAATCTCAGGAGGAAAAATCCAGTCTCCTCTCCTCCAATCTCCAGTTCAGTGTGCCTATTTTGCTGAGGTCCAGATCTGAATAATTCAAAACCATCCCAGGTAGACGGTCCATCACAGGAGCCAGGGCCAACGCCGAGGCCCCGGGGCTATTAAAGCCACAGCTGCTGCCGGCCCACGGGCACACACCGGGACCTCAGATCCCGGATCCTGCAGCCCTTCCTGGGAAAGTCCCTTCCCCACCACCACCACGTCCTGACGCAGCGCACGCAGGCTGTGCCTGCCCTTGCAAGCTTCTCGGAAACCCAGGCTCTGAAGAAAAGAGCAGTGCCGGTCACAGCCTGCGTCCTGAGGCGGACGGCGGCCCCTCGATGTCGGGTGAACCTGCAAGCTGAGAGGCGCTCACGGGGCCTCGCTCCAGGGTCGTCGCTCTCCCTGTCCCCACCCACATCCCTGTGCCTGCCCTCGAAGCAGACGCACGCCATCAGCACCCTCATCCTCTCCCCCCCCCGCTCCCTCCCTGTCCTGGCCTCTCTGTAAGAGAATGATCTGGAACCTTCTCTGGCAGCCAGCACATCCCAGGGTTTGGGAAATGGAAGAGACGCACGAGTCCCATCCTCCCGGGCACGCTGTGACGCGGAGGGTAGGCAGGGCGCAGCCTGCTGTGTTTTATCTGACGGCCACCTTTTTACAGAGAGCTTCAAAATTTACTAGTAGTTTTTCACGATAAAATAAAGACATATCATAGAAGAAAAAACATGACATTCCTCTCAAAATTAGGAAAGTTATGGAATTAATTTAGTTCTAGAAGGCAATTCAAATACTATACAATCCGTCTTCTCCAGAAACCAGCTCGTCCGCAAACTAGAACAAGGCACCCTACTCACATCTGTGCTCTCTGAGCAAACAGCCACCCGCCCCCCTCCCAGGTGAGAGAATGAGAACCTGCGAACTTCGGCAGACTGGCCGGAGCCGGCGGCCTCTGCGCACAGCAGCCTTGCACGCAGCTGGGGAGAAAGGAAGCTGGGGACAGTCCCTCTCCCTAAGCACTCTGGGCACTCCACAGACTCAGCACGACATCGCTGCACAGCTGCATTTAAGAGGACCTGTGGACAGGACAGTGCCTTCTGTCCCAAGGCCGCCCCATCCTAGGGATGCGAGGACCCCTGGCCACAGGCAGCTTCCCCTCAGGCACTGAGCTAAATACAATAAAAACAAAAGCGCCTCCTCTCAGCTACGGGAAGGCTCCACAGTTACTGTTCAGGTCCTTCATCCCCAGATTCTACGTTAAGCTGATCTGTGAGGGGCCAGCCTCCAGCTCTGCTGACACAAAGCCCTGGGCCAAGACGCCCGCCACCACGTGGCCTGAATGGCCACGGCCTGCTTCCACGCCTCGCCCTCTGCTCTGCAGGGAAGTCACAGCATGCCACCTTGGTCTTCCCTAAGCAGCCAATGACACAGCAAAGCCAACGTGGGAACAGGAGAGGACTGGATTCTCTGACTACACGCACACTTGTGTTTAGCACCAGGAGCACCCCTGCGCTGTCCAAGCCCTGCAGGGACCACTCCAGTCAGAAACCGGGCCGCTCCCACCCTCTGCTGTGAGAATCTGACTTTCACCTGTTGACAGCTTGGCTCCAATTTCACATGGACAGGAAATCGAGAAGGGAAACAAGCAATTAAACGAGGGGACTCAGACCTCATCACCCTCGCGGGAGACAAAGCCCTGAAGCCCGACGGGGGAGGGGGCTGGGACTCGCCCCTTCCCCAGAGCACGCATCACGGCCGGGCAACCGCGCGCTCGCTGGCTTCCTGACCCTCCAGCCACCACACTCCTCCTCCGCCCCAGTCACAGAGCAGGTGGCAGAAACGCCAGGAGCTCATCTAAGTGCGGTGCCAGCACCCAGAAGCCCCTCGGCCACTGCCGGCTGCCACCTCCTGACCTCTCAGAGCCCAGAGCAGTTCACGCAGCCTGAGGGAGAAGCTCCCGGCGGGGAGAGCTGGCGTGGGTGCACCCTAAGGAGAGACCAGTGGCTGCAGGCAGCAAGACCTGCAGAAATGATCAGATAATGAAACACCTCCCACCTCTCCAGAGAGGTGAATCATTTTCTTTCAGGTGTCAAACGAGTAAGCTAAATGCACCACAGTCAAACTCTATCATGGAAAAGGCAGCAGGAACTCATCTAAAATGAGCAGCAGCGTCTAAGGACACAGGCGCCTCTGTGACCCCGAGTCACCAAGGTTTAAAGGATAAATACAGACTTCCCCGAAGCTCCTGCCCGGCTCCAGGAGTTCTAATGAGCCACACGTGCACTTCATTTTTGAAAGACATTTAAAAACTCCAAGCCATCCTTATACCTCTCCAATTCTGAAATCCAGTCCTGAGTGCTCTCCCTGCACCTTTCCGAAGTCCGACTTGGGAAAACACGTGGCCTCCTAGACAGAACCAGGGCTCCGAGGGCTGGGCCACGCGCAGCGTGCGCACGGACGGCACCCCAGCTCCCTCAGCCGGCACGACTGGCGGAGTGCCGGAGCCAGCCCCTGGGAACAGCGCGCACTTACGTGAGGAAACAACTCCATTTCACGTTCTCCCACAAAGGGAAGTTCAGTAGCGCTTGCCTACCTACTGCTAAAGGGCGGGAGTGAACACCACACTCATTCTCAAGTCAAGGCTCAAGTTACCACTTTAATTTTCCTCCAACTATTGGGGCGCAAAGGCTGTGAGCATTAAAACAAAGAGGCAAACAAAAGATGGAAAACAAACGGTGAGAGGACCCCCTGAGCTCCTGAACCGCGGGTGGGGGAGACGCCCACCCTGCTTCTGCTCTAGGCCGGCTCTGGGGCCCGCGGGCCCGCCCTCCACCTCTGGCCTCTGTACCTACCAGACACGTTAATGGAGGCCCCTGCGTCAATGATCCCGCTGTTGGGCCTCACGCAGTACCTGCGCGGGGCCGTCGTCTTCACTTTAAAGCACACGTTCCGGTCTGTCGGGTTGCCAAGCTTCAGGTTGGTGGTGACGACATCGGTGAAGGGCCCTGCGGAGTGAGACACAGGCTGACTGGATCGGCCAGTCTCCGGTCCGGGGACCACGCGACATGGTTAAGGGGAGACGCGAGAGCCGAAGTCCTCTAACAGGGACAGATGGGAGCGATGGGCTGCGGGTGCTGGCAGTCCTTCACTGCGACCCACACACGGCCCCTCACCGAAACCCCAACTCCACGATTCCTGCTGTCTTGCAGATGAGGAAACTGACACAAGGAGACAGGGACTTGTCCAAGCCTCCATGCCAGTTAGCAGCAGTTAGGATCCACCCAGTTCTTCCCTTTGCCAAACACTGGTTCCCACAGCGGGGAGCACACACAGGACTCCACTTGGGTCCAGAGGGCAGTCAAGGGCAGGGTGTGCCAGGAGCAGCAGGGGCAGGGGAGACAGAGGCGCAGGGGTCCACGCAGAGCTGCTGCTGGGCCAGTCAGGGGGCTGTGGGAGAAGCGCCGGGCCCTGCAGGGCAAGCCGCAGCTGAGACAGCGTGCCCAGCGCTGGAGGCCCAGGCTCCTGGGAGACGGGAACCAAGATCGGTGCCTTCGGGATAGTTTTCCTGACTATTATTTATTCATTTCCGACTTTATTAGATTTTTTAATTAAAAAGGTAAAACTTGCTTCTTAAAACAAACCAAACAATAAAAGATGTATAAGGAGGAAGTTAATAAGCTTTCTCTTGTTCCCCGAGGAAACCAACATTAATAACAGGGGAGATTCTCCACATCAGCCATGCGCTCACACACACACCGGGGTGGGGTGGGGGCGGAGTGACAGCATATTAGTAACAGGGGAGATTCTCCACATCAGCCATGCGCTCACACACACACACACACACCGGGGTGGGGGTGGGGGCGGAGTGACAGCATATTAATAACAGGGGAGATTCTCCACATCAGCCATGCGCTCACAAACACACACGCTGGGGTGGGGTGGGGGCGGAGTGGCAGCAGGGAGTCCTCTGAGGCTGCCTCCTGTAGACCCCGATCCTGGGCAGGGGGCCCAACTCCGCCCCTCTGCAATGTACTCAGTCTCTGTGACTCCGCCCTGTAGTCCTTTAGGAGAAAGGATGGTGTGGAGAGTTAGTGCTTGTGCACAAACAGGTACCGGCTCAGCTGTCCTCCAGGATCCAACAAAGGCACCCCCAGCTGCGCCCTCAGATCTGCCGCGGGACCTGACGCCCGAGACAGGACTGCGCCTGACCCTCCGCGGTGCAGCCACCTGCGGGTCAGCTCGGCAACACTGAGCTCCCAGGCTGCTTCCCAGAGGGGCTCGGGTGTGAAAACTCAATCTGACGCGGGTTTAACTCTAACACAAACGAAGAAATCAATAATGGCGGAAAGGGAGAATGGAACAGGGACTCCATTTAAAAATCAAATAAACCACAGCCAGTTACGCTACAAGGCTTATTTATGAAAACACGAATCTGTTCCCAAGTGATTGATGTGATAGTAAGGGGAGGATCTGAGCATAAAACAATGTTCACATTCGTGTACGCATTTTGTCTGCAGAAATACTAGGTAAACACTGAAAATCGCACCCAGCTGGACCCAGCTGGCAGAGCAGCGCACGACACACACGCTTCCACCACCTCCATACACGCTTCGTGTGCTCAGCCCAGGGGTGAGGGCCACGTTTTGTGGCCACAGCTCCCCACGGCGTGACCGCGCTCCCCCGACGCTCACGTCCGTAGTTCACGGAGAGGGGCCCGACTGCGGCAGCGTTTGCCGTTGGCCCCAGGTCTCTGCCTCTGTCAGCCACAGGGCCCGAGCGCTGCGCCCCGCCCAGGCGGCCTGCGGTTGCTGCGGCACTTGGCTGGACACCTGAGGGACGCACAGGTCGCGGCACAGCACATGGACCACACTGCCGGGTCTCTTACTAGACTGGGCTACTTCAGCTGAAAGGCTGTCTCATTCCCTGCGTGACAGCACCTCCGAGAACGAAACGCCCAATTTGCTTACAAAAGCATCTCTGGGGGCCAGGCTGGAGGCCGCCGGGACGCAGCTGCGGTGGAATCGGCTCCGGCAGCTCACCTACAGACACCAGCACGGCCAGTCAGCCCCTGGGGAGAACCAGACGCTGCTAAGAGCGGTGCTCAGGCCCAGGAGGACTGCAGCTGCCCTGCGGCCGCCAAGGCACCACCCTCGCATCAGTACCTTGGCACCAAGGGAGAAACAGGATCCAGGGTGCAGAAGCGGTGTTTGGGGACGGGGGGCGGGGGGGGGAGGCCGCAGCTCCCTGTGCCTCTGCCCCTCCTCTCTCCAACGCCGCAGTCTGACTCACAGCGAGGAGGGGGTCACTTCAGCAAGGGCACAGAAAAGCCATCAGGAGAACTAAACTCAGGGCTAACTCTGCAGAGTCAGGAAGCAGCAGGGGACAGCCGCGCACGCACGCCCCAGCCCTCACATCCACACCGTCAGAGGACGGACCCCTGGACGCGCGGCCCCAGCTCCAGCAGTCCCATGGCTGGGCAGGGGAGGAGGCAGGGACACATGGGACACCTGGAAAGCGACGCCCTTCAAACCCAAAGCCAGGGCACCAGGGCACCAAGGGCAGCCTGCAGCGCTCCAGGGCCCAGCCTCAGCGCTCTCCAGACAGAGCCCGAGGCGCCCATTCCGGAACACGGAGCCTTCCCCAAGGTCCTCGGGCACCTCCAAGACCGCCAGGGTTTCTTCTGCTGGACGGAGCGGTTCCGTCTCTGCCTCTCCTCTCTGAGGGGCCTCTCCACAGAAACACATCAAATTTTACCATGAACACCAAGCTGTTGGTGGAAAATCCCCAGGTCCACCTGCGACCCGGCAGTCTAAACGGTGCCTCACCTTACAGGAGGCCGCAGCAGGTGGCCTGGTTAAAAACGCCAGCAGAGCAGGTGCCGTGAACAGCGCACACGCCTCCTTCAACTCTCAGCCCTGGGCTTCGCGTGTCAGGGCTCCTTGGGCCGTCCTCAGGGAAACACCACCTCCAGGAAGACAGGCCGGCCCTCTGCTCCGCCCGCGGGGCCATGTCCTCGGGGACTTATTAAAAATGAATTCTGTTCGATTGGAGTCATTATGGGAGATAAGCCCGCTGGTGCTCCCCTCTGCCTCTGTGTTAATGAATCAGAATACACAAAAGCCTTAGGAGCCTCATTCAGGTTTTCACTAGTCACTCTCATTTCCTGAAACTGCCATTTCCATCACAGCTTTATGTAAAAAAGGGGGTTTTACGGCACCAGCACGCACATTAATCACCGATGAATTTAAACACTGCTTATAAAGTACAGAGCCAATTTTACAAATGAAATCGACTCCAAAAGTCAGAATTTTTTCTTGGGAGGGATGAGGAAAGTGATTTGTGTCTCTAGATTTGCAACACAACCTTTTAATCATTTTCCTCGCTAATCTCCTATTCCTTACTTCAGGTAATGGCTGCACGGAAACCAAGCATTTAAAATGTGAAACAGGAGGGTAAAAAAAATGATGCAACACAAATTTAGGGGAAATTGGGAACCTCTTTGAAACTGTTAGTCTTCTTTTGAACAGGTGAACAGTGTTCGCTATGTCCGTATTAAGTGTATGTCCACCTGTGAACATCTCTGTGCGTGTGACAGACGGTCACTAAACATCCACTAAGTGAGCGCGGATCCCTGATTCTTTCTTCAGGTCCTAAGTGAGCGCGGATCCCTGATTCTTTCTTCAGGTCCCTGGTACGGCTGTGCAGGAAACAGACAGTTTCCCCGCCTTCCCCACGCCCCAGAGCTCGGCGTGGTCACCTGTGCAGTTAGGGAAGCAGGAAAGCCGAGAGCTGACCTGTTTTAGAAGGCAGATTGTAGCTGAAAGTTGCATGGCATGAAAAATGAAAACAGGCAGATTTTTTTGTTAAAGATTTATTTTTATTTATTTGAAAGACAGAGTTACAGAGAGAGGTAGAGACAGAGAGAGAGGTCTTCCAGCCGCTGGTTCACTCCCCAGATGGCGGCAAAGGCCGGAACTATGCCAACCCAAAGCCAGGAGCCAGGAGCTTCCTCTGGGTCTCCCACATGGGTGCAGGGGCCCAAGGACTTGGGGCATCGTCCACTGCTTTCCCACAGCAGAGAGCTGGATGGGAAGTGGAGCAGCCGGGACTTGAACTGCTGCCCATATGGGATGCCGACACTGCAGGCGGGACCTTACCCGCTACACCACAGTGCCAGCCCTCAGCGGACTTCTTGACACTGAGATCAGGTTCCAGGTGCTGAAAGATCTCATCCAAAACAGATGGATAAGCCCACCAAACAGGAAGTTTTTCCAGAAAAAGATGCCCATTAAATCCGTAAACATTCCCATGCTCTTCTCTAACCTTGCACTGGAGGAAAAGATTAAAGCAAGACTCTCTCCTTCGGGAAATGTATCAGCTTCACAAAAAGTAACTGAAGGCTTCACCTCCCACCAACCACAAACGGTCACACGGGGCGCAGGAGTGCAATCCATGTGGGCACCGGTTCGAGTCCCAGCCACTCCACTTCCCACCCAGCTCCCTGCTGTGGCCTGGGAAAGCAGTGGAGGATGGCCCAAGTGCTTGGGCCCCTGCACCCATGTGGGAGACCCGGAAGAAGCTCCTGGCTCCTGGCTTCAGATCGGCACAGCTCTGGGTGTCGTGGCCACTTGGTGAACGAACCAGTGGATGGAAGATATCTCTTTCCCCTTCCCTCTGTCACTCTGCCTTTCAAATAAATAAGTAAAATCTTAAAAAAAAAAAAAAAAAAATCCTATGAGAGCCTCCCAAGAAACTCAAAGCTCAGCCCTGGCCTCCTCATCTGTACGCCCAGGCACACATCTACCCATCTGTTCAACCATTCCCCATCAGAAAACGCCAAAATAAAACCCAACACCACCAAATGCCAAGGACACGGAGCAACCGGACCTCTGACTCAGCAAGGGCGAGCAGGCACCAGGGTAAGCCGCCCAGGAAGGCAGCGTGGGAGTTTCTTAGAGACTGAACACACTGCTGCCACACGACGCAGCACCGACTCCAAGGAACT